GCGGGGCTTTGCGCGTCCGGACCCGGCCGCGGCTCGGTCCCGCAAACGCTCAGATCCTGCCCGGAAACCTTGGCGCTGCCGAGGCCTCTGGAGGGGACCTGGAGGCAGGAGAAATGTGAGGCCGATGTGAGAAAAGGGTGATGAAAAGAGCTGTAAAATGACTCCTAGGGGAAAATAAACCGGCAGGAGGGATTTCACCTGTGCATGGGATTTGCATTTGCAAGATCCAGAGTATTTTGGTGATGGGACAGTTGCCACAATCTTGTTAAGAAGCAGCAGTTGATGTTCAGGAACCTTAAGCGCTGACAGGAAATATACATTACAAAGGGGCAGAATTCTAATAAAATTTCCTGCAATGGGAAAGACCTGCAGCATTATTAACTTAATATTTCCCCCCCCTCCTTTTTTCAGAAGGAAATTAATTTACATACTTTTATTTTACTGGAATACACTGAGTGATTCCCTGTTAGCATGGCAACCACAATTTATAGTTCTCTAAGCACGCCTCATAAATGAGATGGTTCTTTCAATCCTAAGACACCTTTTAGGTGGAAGTAAATAAACCACTTTTCCAGTCTGTGCCTTCCTTGCGGAGAGTGGGTACTCCTCAAAAATGAATGAAAGGTGATGAAATAGAGATTACACAATGTTTTCGTCAGTGAAAGAAATACAGAATGGGAAATAGTTTACTGTAAGACCTACACACTAAATTTAATAACTGTAGAGCACATTTAAATCCGGTCTATTTTAAATCTAATCATACTGCAGTGACAGGATATTTGTGTATTTACATTAGTTTCTCCAAGGCGCAGACCTGGATAGACTAACAAAGTTATCTGTGCAAAATATCCAAATTTTCCATAACTTAACCTCATTCAAATTATGAAGATTTTTCTGTACAGGTAGAGAAGCCAAACACTGGAGTGAGACTGCTATAGAACTGTCATAGAATGGCAATCTGAATTTACACCCTTTCTTCAGGCAAGGCTCAGGATTAGGCTTTGTCCTTTCAAAGAGGAACAGCTGAAACTCTCCTAGCACAGTTTGTTTTTCCTTTCCTTCTGCAGTGAAAAAGCTTCTTTCTACTTGCAGAAGAATTAGGTTCCTTACTATAGTTTTTCATGTTTTTCTTCTGCTGTTCAGGCTTCAGAGCAGATAAGACTATCTTTGGAAAAAGCAAAACATAAATATGTCTGTTGTTTAAATTTAACTTCAGTCACTTATTCTGACACTATATATAGTAGTCATTGCCCTTAAAATAGCTCCAGAGAGAAATTCAATTTCTTCTTATCTCATCTTATTTAGAGCCAAATACAGCTACATGAAATTAAAGTCAGCTGAGGTCACTCCAAGTCGGGTACGATTTTGCTTATCTTGTTGAATATGCCTTCTGAAAATATTATGTCCTGAGCATTATGGCTCCACTCTTGATGAAAGCGAATTTGCATTACTTTAGTATGAACAACCCATCAAATATTTATTGAAAGATGAATGTAGAGAAAGCTAGCAAGGTAATCCCTTCTCACCTTTGGGTACATGTGTATAGTGTCTCACTTAGGTGACAAGTAAAAAAGAGCATGGCTGTTCCTCCAGGCATCTGCGATCTATCTCCATTCCAGGACACTGTGTAATCTGTCAGCTTCTTTCTGGGACATGATTCACTGGTGTGAGGTGGCAAAACGAACAGGGAAAATCCTGTGCAGCATCTCTGCCTGCTCTGCTGTATTGGCTATGCTGGTAATCAGTGCTAAAAAGACTGAATTCTTTTTGAAAATGGTGACTAAGTCAGCATGAGTTGTCCTAGACATGGAAAGGCAACATACAGCAGGAAGAGAAGTCTCTGTTATAATCTATTTCAAGAAAAAGCAGACAAGAACAGAGGAAGCAGTCACTGCATTGTTCTGTTCAGAGTCAAACACTTAAGAGACTTTATGAGCATCAGATTTACCATTACCTTTTCCGTTCAGATCTAAGTTGTGCTGGTTTGTAGGATGGTCACTTTATCAGGCATTTTTTTTAAAAATTATTGAAAGCAGGCTGAAGGTAAAACTTTGTTTATAAATCAACTTACTGTAACCATGTTTTCTGTCCGCAAACAGTATTCCAGAAATGATCTGTTGTAGAAGCCCTGAATCCACTGCGGCAGATGAAAGACAGACACTTGCCCTTACTCTGATTTTAAGTATAGTGTAGCATCTGTTTAACACCAGGATCAATGGTACCAGGATCCTCATGTCCATTGCAACTGGTTGTAGAATAAATTGTCCTATTTAAATACATTTTAATTATTATGGTTTTATATAATGAAAACAGAGAAGGGGTGAGCAAATTTAAGCTTCTTTTCGTAACAGATATCCAGGCAGAAATTATTCATAGGTACATTTCTATCAGACTGTCATTTGAAACTGGTAGAATACAAACACCTGGAAATAAGAGGCAATTGCTTTGCACAGTGACGTTTAGAAGGCATTTAAAGGTTCTTAGTGCGCTGCGCAGAAAGTAACAAATACACCTGCAATACTAAATCATTTTCATTTTTCTTAGAGCTGATCTTTTCAAACTTCTGTCTGGATTTGAATTCTCAAAGTACTTTTTACAGCCATTTATTCCTAATTTAGGTAGTGACTGGTGTGAGACAAGAACTGCAAAGAACATAGGATAAAATTTATCTTTTTTTCAGCTAAGCTATTTTCAGTGGATTGTGGGTGGAAGGGGAGACAGGAAAAGCTCCTTAAATTTTGTTGAATTTTACAAATGTTTAAGGGTTTGATGCAGTCAAATTTAACCTCTAAAGTCTATGACAGCTTCTGCAATTTCTGGAACTTTGAACCTGTGCTGGATACACTCACCAGAAAAGCTTCTCACATATCTGTGAAAATCAGATGAACGATTTGGATATTATGGTAATACTGTTATCTAAAATGTTATGCAATGGATAGAGGGGAACAATAGACGGAGAAAGATTTTTTTTTTCATTTGGATTTCCTAGGCCAGAGATTATAAGATTACTCAAGTGATAATTTCTACATATTGTGGAAAGCTGGGCCTCCAGCATCTGAGGATCAAGCAGCCATTCCCCAGAAGGTGAAGGCATCACCAGTGCTTGGGTGATTGGAGAGCGGTCATGCCCTATGATAATGCCCCCTCTGTGCTCTTTGAATCCTGCCTCAGCACGTACAGACCATGAAAACCAGTACCAGGGGCCCCTAGTGCCGGCCGGTCATGCAAGGTGCAGTTCAGTTGCCCATGCAGAAGTGTCGTGCCATTTCAGTTGACTTAAGGCATCTTCCTTGACTGCCAACTGCAGCTACAGAAGGGCACCAGTCTCCTGTACGTCTTGTATCGTATAGGCCAGCCTTCTGGGGTTATGTCTGATGCTCTGACCTTGGGCCTGAATTGACATGAAGTACCTACATGTTGGCTACTGAGTGGAGCCTGTAGTCTCTTCCTCTTCCTTTGCTGAAAAGAGAAAGGCACAAGCGGAGAGGAAAGCATGCTCCCCATTTTTTAGAGCAGAACACACATCCTCTAGAGATGCCAGTCTGTCTTTGCTAACTGCAGCAAGACCAGCTCATCTAAGATGAGAAACCTAACGTAAGATAGGTTAGCTGAATCCCAACTGTGCAGAGTGGGCTGTGGTGGTAAGCATAAAAGTGAAATAAGCATAAAGGTCAGTAGTAAGATCAAGGACAAATGATCTCTATGATCAGGCTAAAGCGCAGATTAAAAAAAAAATAAGCACACACACCAAACCACTGTGCCAACTTTGAAACAATCCGTAAATAACATAAACTTCCAATTACCTGTTTGATATACACTTCTGGGATGTTATCAGCAACCACGTCTGCAATCTGATTTCCTTAAACAGGATTCTTCAAATCACACAGTCCTAGGCAGAGTGGCAATAACTACCTAAAACATTTGTCACTTTCCAGCCCACGTGTCCAGTCTCATGTCTATCACAGAGAGGGGGCAGTTGCCAAGAAGCCTAACAGCTTCCTCTGTGCTGCAAAGGTAGCAGGGATGCTTACTAACCTTAAGCCATAAAGTGTAAGAGGAGGAACAGTACAATCCTTCATCCACCCATAAGGTACTCTGGGAAGTCGGCCTGGCCTGACAGCTTTATCTTTCCTTATGAGACACAGGCATTTGCACAATAAGGATCTTCCTGATGGTAGATTCTCTACTAGATGGACTGAGAATTCAAATTTCTCACTTTAACCGTCACTTAATCATGGCATTCACTCACATCACAGGAAGTTAGGAAACCATGGAAAACCAATGCAGTCCTCTGTTCATCAGATTAATCAACAAGCTTTTATCTGTCTCACTTCTGTGTCAGTTTAAAATCAGGAGAAGAGTGCTAGAAGATAGTCTTTTGAAGATGAAAACTGAAATATTCTCTAGCAT